GTGATGAGCCGGTGTCCGATAAAGTTTGCCAACTGATATATCAATCTCTGGAAGTGTTGGTTTGGATTTAACTCGCTGCTTTTCTAAGAGCATCTGTTGACATCAATGTCATGGATTTGGTTGCAAAGTCAAAAACACCAACGCACCACTTTGGGGAGATTTTGGTGTAAAGCCAAAAAACAGTGGAGAGCACGAAAACACCGAGGAGACGATTTGTTGGATGTTCAGCAAAAAGTAGCTTTGAAAGGTCAAAGTCAGTTTTATTTATCGAGCACATTTAAAAACAACCAAAGTGCTTTACAGACTTCTAAAACATAAAGACGTTAATAATGCCACAGTTCTAAAGTAACTGAGATATAAAATGAACAGGACAATAAATCAACTCATATTTAATGGTTGTAATTACAGACGGCTCGTGGCCATGTGTTGTTCGTCCAGTCCACTAATCCTGATTATTTCTGCAGTGCTTATTTGGTACATAAAAATCACTGCAAAAGCCCTGAACGTAGTTTGTTTTATTGCTTATTTTATTAGACAAACAATCCAAGAAACCTAAAGAGTTTCAGTAGAGAAACCACGAGAGCCACAAAATGAACAGTAGATGTTTTTAAACTTTTTTTCAACCTCATCTCCTGTTTTCATTCTTTAAATTACAATAAAATGATGTTTCAGAACTTATAGAGCAAAACAAGCATCCTTGAAGACTATAATAATAATAAAAAAGGAAAATATAGCTGCTGCCAGAGCTGCATTTTGAACATTTTCTTCTCCGCCAGCGACGTCTACGCTCAGTCGTAGCTGTTTTTAAACTTTGATCACATGATCCCAATCAGCATCGTAGAAGTTAAAGGACTTCCTGTCAGTGCTAGTATCGCAGCTGAGGTTTCATTTAAACAGCAGTTTAGAAGATTACGTCACAGCGAGGGGACATGTTTTCATCACATCACATCATTTTCATTTAAAAAACAGAAAAAAAGCAGCACATCTTCACATTCAAACTCATCATTTTTTGTCATTTTCTTTTGATTAACTATTTGTCAAATATCAATTTCACAAGATTTGAAGCGAGCGGTTTGCTTCTCCGTCAACATGAGGAGAAAATTAACCAAACCAGCAGGTTATTTAAAGGTTCCTTCCCCATCAGCATCCTGATCAGACTAATCATCCTTGCGTCGCCTGTCTTTATCTCCCCCTCTCAACTCGGTCATGTTGGAGCACCCGGTCTGCCGTTTTACATTATTAGTTCCCTGTCAGGGTCGCTCCCTCTTACTCCAGAGAAGCCGAGGAAAGCGGAGGTGAGGAAGATGGAAAGTGACGGCTCCTGCCTGCTCGTCGCTGGGAGGATGGGGAGGGAGGAAGAAGATGATGATGAGGGGGAGGAGGAGGCGGCGTTGACGGCCTAATCTCTGCCTCTGATTATCTTCTCATTACAATCAGACGGGAGCCACTCGACGAAGAGGAGAATGTGTAATTACGCTAAAATCTCCCATGACTAAAACAGGGAATAATAAGCAGGGCTGGAAGTGTGTGCTCACATCCCATCGTTGGGTTTATTTAGCTGCTCGCTCTGCAGCCGTGTTTGACTGCGGATGAAGGAGGGTTTTTCTTTCTAGAAGATCCAGGTTGGATTGGTAAACACCTGACTTTAAAACTTCTTGATTTTGTGTTTGATAGGAGAGGAAATCAAGAAGAACTATTGTGATGAAAACATGAAACATTTTCCCCCCGAAAGCAGCTGAAGCATGTAAACAACCACATTTCAATTGACACATCGATATGAATGGTAAATGGCTGACCTCCAGTTTTTATTTTTTTCCTGGAGAATGGCTGGCAGGGAGAAATGGAGGGGAATAAAAACACAAACCCAGCAGAGCAGAGGGAATAAGGCTAACCAAGCATGTTAAATCGGCCTCTCTCGCAGTCGTATGATGGAAACGTTAACTTTGTGGACGACTAGAACGAAAAAAAAAGTTTTCACTGTGGGCTCAAGAGCCACAAAACTTAATCTTCTGTTTTTTTCCTCTCTCTTCCCCTCGCAGCTCTGAAACAACAACCTGCCAGCCGCTCAAGACTGACGAGAGGAAGGCGGCGGACACGAGGGTGGACGCGTCGGACAGAAACGGCTGCATCAAAGGACGTAAACACCACAGCAGCCACCGCCGGGCCAGGAGGTGAGTGATTCCAAACCATCAAGGAGAAACTAAGAGAATGAGCGCTTTGTAAAGAGATGAGAAAGTTTGAGAAATCAATGCCCCCCCTTTTTAAAGATGTAGTATTGTTGATCAGAGCCAGAAGTTTTTTTCTGATGATGAATGGTCGGAGTTTGTGTGTTTTTTTTTTGCTTTTGTAGATTACAGTACTGATGATAAAGCCTTTGAACACCAAAAAAAACTCCTTCAGGGCTTCACTCTCAGTAAGGAAAAAAAGCTAATCTCTATATTCTGGTGCAGGGAATGTAAACAGTCTTATCAGGTTGTGGGCCCTGTGGAGAAATACAAAGATGTTGTGAGAAATTCCACACTGTGTCATTCAGATCCGCTCTTTCACCAAACACCTTGAACCAAAAGTCTCTTTTCGAACACTTTTCAGACTCCGAAAAGGTGGGAGAAATCAATCCGGGCAGGTGAAGAAACCTCTTAATTAATCTGACACCTTCAAAGCCTCCTCAGTGGCTCAGCAGGGAAGCAGCCAGTGATACGTAAAACACAGCCCAAGAAGTGTACGAGAGGATCACAAACAGGAATCCCTTCTCTGTGGATGAACTTCACCCGCCGGCTGCTTCTCTTTGTTTTTTTGAATTGAACAGTGAGCGCAGAGAACACGCCGGCGTGCTGCTTTCTGATAATCATTTTTCAGGTTTCTGCAAGAAAAAGTGTGATAGAAAAAAAAAAAAAAAGCACGGTGTGAAAGATTTATAGTGTTTGTTATCCTTGAAGCCGTTTCTGTGAGTTGAATCGACACCAGAGGACTTTTCTCCTCAGCGCCTCCAAATGACAAAGTCGTTTGAAATTTAAGCTCTCAGGAATCACACAAGTGAGACCAGTTTTATTTCAGAGAAGGAACACCATCCTGCTGAAGTTGTCAGGCTGTTTGCTAAATGTTCTGAAAATGTTGTTTATTTAATTTTAATTTTATATTTAATAGGAACTAGCTGGCAGCTGATTTAGTCCCTGGATAAGTAGACTAAAACAATTAAAGCACATAAAACAACACATAAACGTCCATCAGATCAGTATGAGGTCATCCAGTCAGCCTGATAAACACAATCAATACAAGACAGTCACTGGTGCTGATGCTGACTTTAGCCAAAGCTTGATTCACTGCTCAGCTTCCCACATCGCTGCTGCTGCTGCGCTGTTAATAAACAAACCTACCAACACAACAATAAAAACTTTATATTTCAATCGCTGAGGTGCCAAAAAATACTGTAAATTGTAAATTATTTGTCTCTCTTTATATATATATCGTGAAAACTTGTAAAACTATACAAAACTTCTTTTTTTTTCTGATGGTAATCACAAACTGTATTTTTTTTAGAAATCGAAAATTAGAAATATATTTAAACTTGAGATATTTGTGAAATTTCTACAGATTTACAAAGGTTTTAATTTTTTTAAAAAACAAAATAAAATAATTTAATGATTGTTCATAAGATAAGGCTAAAAACTAAACATATAAAGGCCTCAAAAAGAAAATAATAATTACTATTTTATATAATAGCTACAGTATAATGTTATTTTATATAAGGCATAGAAATTGCTCATTCATTTGTGTAATATTATTAATATTTTGTATATTTGAGAAGGTGGCTCAGTGGTTAGCACCGTTGCCTCGCAGTAAGAAGGTCGCCGGTTCGCGTCCCAGTGAGGACAGCCAGGATCTTCGCATGGAGTTTCCATGTTCTCCCCATGCAGCGTGGGTTCTCTCCGGGTCCAAAAATATGTTGAGGTTAATTGGTGATTCTAAATTGTCTGTAATGTGAGTGTGCTTGGTTGTCTGTCTCTAAGTGTAGCCCTGTGATAGACTGGTTACCTGTCCAGGTGAACCTGCCTTCACCCTGAGTCAGCTGGGATAGACTCCAGCCCCCCATGACCCTAGTGAGGATTAAGCAGATAATGGATGGATGGATATTTGAAACTTTGGACAAAATGTCACCGCTTACAAAGGCCAGAAGTCCTCTAAGAAGACGGTGTGAGATGATGAATAACTTTGAACATCAGAACTCCATCAGAGTAAAAAAAGAAAGTTGTCAAAGTTTCTCAGGATGCTGCAGTGATGATCATCATTTTGCTTTTTGCCTACGACTTTAAGGATTTGTTTATTAAATGAGCACCGAGTCTCAAGTGTCGTCAAACCTGCCTGTAATTACTTTATGCTCCTTCAATCCCTGCACTGTCGTACAAGTGGTATCTCTTGAACGCCACGAGGGAGTTTCTTAACTTTGGTAAGATGCACTGACTGAACCAGTCCAAGTTCTGAAGTAAACTGAAGGAGCCTCTGGAGTAGAAGGTGAAACGTCTTCAGAGACCAAAAAGCTGGTAGATAGACAAATATCATGGACTGCTCCATGTCGAATACTGAGATGACATGAATTCCATACACATCCATTAATTCGTACAGAGGATAGCTTTGAAACGGTGGCTCTGTGAAGTGATCCAACAGACTCCACTCTGGTCCAACACTTCTACCTGAAGGTCAGCAGGGAGGACTGAGGAGATCCAGCCACCAGCCTTAATGAAGGCACTGTGGACGACGCCCACATCTCCCAGCAGCCACCACGTGTAGATGCATGAAAAATACCGTGTTTGCGTTCAATCATCCCCATTTATTAAAAGGTGGCTAATGAGCTAGATCCATTCCCAAACACTTTGTCTCAATTACAAAGCTCTGCCTGAGAAAAGTCTCCACAGACGAAGACATTTGTTCTTTGGATTGTTATCTTGCTAATTGGTCGGCGGCGGCCCGATTCGCCAGACAAACCAAGTATTAACATGAAGTCAATGGATTCCTTCTAGAAGCAGCATGTTGGCTCCGGCGAGGTAGTTCTAGAAAGGAGCTGTTGCCAAACGGGCAAACGAGCCGCCCAGTTACATACATTTAATTACTGCTAGAAACAGAGAAATCCACCTGATCTCAGCCGCTCTAGACACACGTGATGCATATATTTAACATGACGACACACTTAGGATGCAGCTACATGTGTACATTTAAGGTATTCATGCATAATTGTGGTTTTAGGAAAAATAAAAACAATACCCTGAGTTCTGCACGGAGCAAATTCTCATCAGATGTCCCCGAATCCCCGTTCCATACGCCATTGTTCCACAAAATCACCATTCCCAGTGTCGCTGGCAGATGACTGCTCTCTCATTCTCCCTTTCATTCTCTCCACCTCATCAAAAGAAACTGTTTCTGCTGGCAAGAAGAAATGCAAATGCTCGCCTTGTGCTCTCTTTCCACAAGGCCAGAATGGTGGAGGTGTTAATGAGTGACAAAGCGTTCTCATTACCAGGAGAGGGTACTTGGGCCTGGTCTGTCTAATCAGCCCTAATGCATTTCATTTCCTAATGCTCCCAAACTGCCGACTACACCGAGCAGGGTCATTTATTACAGCAGGACGCTCCTCAGCATCCAGTGGAACAGGCACATAGTCTCCAGAGTCTCTGTGGTCGCATATATCAGGGAGGAGTGCACTTTGTCACTGTCTGGATCGGTCCGGATCACGCTCACCTGCGTGCACGACCTTCTGTTTGTGTAACATGGAGGTACGTTGCTTTGAATTTGACGTGCAAATAGCAACCATTACCCTCCAGTAAGCATGAAAGGGATTCAAAACGTGTCTTACGCTGCTGCTGAGTCCAGTCTCACGCTGGGCCGTGAACGTATCTGGATATCTGGAGAGAAGAGTTTCTCTCTAATTATTAGTTTATTCACAGAGTCTCTTTTTTTTGTGTAGCTCCAAACTTTTGCACGTTATCCAGTTTAAAAGAGGCTAACCTAAAAAATACTAATTATTCTGACTAATTTACCTTTTAAGATGCTTATTATTCATTA